AGCCACTGGTTCCAGTATTCAAACTCCGGTCAACTATGTGGGAGTCCAGCAGCATAGCCATTACGCCAACTGCTGGTCCCATGTATACCGATTCTAATGTGCAGCCAAAAATTTTATTTTTTAAAAAGCAAAGTCTGGGCCCAGCCACAATGGTGTATACTGTGCTCTGCAGTCTAGAACTACATACAAGGCCAACCTAAAGGCCAGGCTGTTTGGGATACTGAGACAGGATGATCACAAGCATGAGACTGGCCTGGTCAGCAGAGACCCTCTCTAACAAAGATCCAGGTGTCCCAGCTGGGAGCCCAAGGCAGAAGAATTGTGACTGGCAAGGGGGAAGCAGGAGTCTGGGAGGAAAAGGGAAAGGGAAAAAATGAGAGGGAGAGAAGGAAGGAGAAAAGAGCAAAGGAGTGAGGAAGGATGGTAAGTCAGGAAAAAGATTACTTCTAAAATTACTTTTAAATTTTACTTGACAAAAGTTGCATATATTTGGTATAATACGATGATATTTGTATGTAAAAAGAGTACATCTTAAGGGGTTCATTTTCAACATATTCATCTTGTTTTCTCTGTCTTTTCCCCTAAAAGTTAATGACAACTGGAATATTTTAATTCTAGAGAACCTGACTTCTAGTTTGTCAAGATTTGACTAGTACTGTACCTTGAAATTGGTAGAACGTAATACTCACTGAAGAACTTATGACCTTGCAGTCATCTAAGTCTTCGATATTCTTTTCCCAATGCCTCATCAAGGATTAGTTATTAAAATAGTCTAGAAGGGGGGCCAGCAGGTAATGTGGTGCTTAAAGGTGCTGGAGTCCCATGTGGCTGACCACAGTTCGAGTTCCAGACCTGGCAACTTGCTTTATCACTTTCCCATTTTGTCTCTCTCTGGTCAAATTAAAAAATAATAACAAATAGAATCAAATAAATAAATAAATAAATCTTTGAAAAAAAATGGTCTAAAAGGAAAAATAAAAACTGAAAATATGAGAAAACAGGCATTTTCAAATTAAAAAAAAAAGAATTGGGGGGGCATCAGGTGGCTTAATGGTTAAGGTGCTGGACTCCCACATGGCCAACTGCAGTTTGAGTCCCGCACCTGATGGCTTGAAATTCACATTGAATATGTATGTGTACATGCCCAAAATCCTGAGGAGAATGGAGAAGGGATTGCAGTGTGACCATCCCCATTTTGGAGTGATTTCTCACTTTCTGTCTCTCTGGCAAGTGCATGTGCCCTATAACAAAAATCTCTCTTTAAAAAAAGGTCTAGGGGACCAGCAGTTAGCGTAATGGCTATGTTGCTGGACTCCCACGTAGTCGACTGCGGTTCAAGTCCTGGACCTGGTGGCTTAAACTCATGCCAGGAGCATGTGCCTGCGTGCCCAAGATCACGAGAGGAGAATGGAGGAGAAGGGATTGTGGTGTGACCATCCCCTCTGGGGGGTGATTTCTCGCTTTCTATCTCTCTGTCTCTCTCTGTCTGGCAAGTGCATGTGCCTTATAGCAAAAACCTCTCCAAAATAAAAGAAAAAAAAAAAGGTCTAGAAGGCCCAGTTGCACTGGCTCATGCTGGATGCTACTGGTTGGCAGGTAGGTAGAAGCCACATGGGAGAGACTCAGGTTTGATTCCAAGCCCACACTAAGAAGCTGGGCTCAGTGGTGTGTGCCTATAGTCCCAGCAAGTCAGGAGGCTAAGGCAAGAGCATTGTGACACAGCCAGACCCTGCCTAAAACACCATACACACAAATGCACATACATGCCTACACACACAAACACACACACACAAACACACACAGGAATAAGAGTCTGGAGAAGTAGTGTTTTAGATGTTACAGACTAAATCTAAAATAATTGATTATACTATAGACTCAATTTAATCATGGAAAAAACCTTGAGGGGCCAGCAGGTGGCGTAGTGATTAAGGCACTGGATTCCCATATGGCCAACTGCAGTTCGAGTCCCAAATCCAGAGGCTTGAAACTCACACTGGGGGTGTATGTGCCCAAAATCTCAAGAGGAGAATGGAGAAGAGATTGCCGTGTGGTCTTTGCCCCGGCAGGCAGGGTATTTCTCACTTTCTTATCTCTCCAGCAAGCACACACACCCTATAGCAAAAATCTCTCTAAAAAAAAAAAAAAAAAAAATTGAAATATAAACAGGAGTGTCAGAGAAGCTTATGATAAAAATATTATT